AACGAGTTTCAAGCGAATTTGATTAATTTTAGAAAAGTTTGTCAAATTTGATTTTGTTGTACTTTTTTTTGTCAAAGTACCAAACTTTGAAGTGAAATTGTTAAAAAAAAATAATGCAGCTAGAAAGCTGCGGTTTAATGCGTTGGAAAGAGCGGCTTATTTACTATAAGAATCAATAAAAAAATGAAAATTGATTTTTTCGGACCGTAGGTCCCTTTTAACTGTCCGTGTCACATATAATATAATATAATATAACAATCTGGAGAAAGAGGTGCGAGCGGTAAGGAACATTATCATCAACGCTTGCGATGCAACAATGCCGCGTTGCAAAGGCACCTCTTACAAAAGGAAATCCTTGCACTGATGGTCAGAAAGGTTAGCCTCCTTGCGAAAGCCATGTTTCAGAGCAAGAATAACTTATACCCAATCTAATGGAGATCCTTTGCTCAAGGAAGCATACAAGGTGGCCAAAAAGAACCTCAGCAAACATCTCCGCGCGTCGCGACGCCGTATCTGGAAGGACCTAAGCGAGGACGTCGAGAGGGTCCCATGGGGTCTTTCTTTTAAAATCGTTACTAAGAAATTAGTAACGAGGCAAAAGACCCCCGGCCTGGACACTCCCGATTTTGTTAGAAACGTAATAAAAGCCCTGTTTCCTTCAGCAGAGCCATGGCTTAGGAAGAACTGGAGTTCTTGTATAGTGACAGAGGAAGAACTCTTTACTCTTGAAGAATTGGAGGCAGCAGGTAGAAAATTGAAGACAGGCAAGGCGCCTTGAATCGATGGGATAAGCAACAAGATCCTAAAAGAGGTGATTGTTGCTTTCCCCCTGATTTTGTTAGACATCTTCAATCCCTGCCTAGAGAGAGGAGAGTTCTTTCCAGACTGGAAGGGGCAAAGGGTGGTCCTCCTAAGAAAGGGTGATAAACCTCTAGATAAGGTCTCATCTTACAGGCCTATATGCCTGTTGGATACAATGGGCAAACTTTTAGAGGACATAGTTCTGCAGAGAATGCAATCTCACTTGACCGGAGAGAATAGTCTATCCGATTACCAATTTGGATTCCGCAAAGGTTGGTCCACATTTGATGCCATAAAGGCAGTTGTGGACCTCGCCAGAGAAGGGAAATACAAATTGGGTCCAGATAAGAAGAAGAGCTTCTGCGCGTTGGTAGCAATAGACATACGGAACGCGTTTAATTGCGCGAGATGGGAAGATCTCATCGAGTCGATGATGCAGAAGGGTATACCGCCTTACCTGTTGCGGATAATGGATAATTATTTTAGCGACAGGTGGGTTATTTACGAGGGAGACACCTGCATTCTCAAGGAAGAGATGCAGCGTGGGGTCCCTCAAGGCTTGAGAGTAGGACCATTTTTATGGAATGTATCGTATGATGACTTCCTGAGAATGGACCTGCACGAAGGTTCGGTGATCGTCGGCTTTGCGGACTACGCGTTGATCGTGTGCGCTGCCGACTCGGCGGAAGCTCTGGGGACATTGGTGAACGAATGTCTGCTGCTAGCAAAATGCTGGCTGGAAACCAAAGGTCTTCAAATGGCCCTGGAAAAGTCCGAAGCATTGCTGGTCACAGACAGACATGGTTATAAAGTCCCACGAATCGTGATGGACGAATTCGAGGTCAAGTGGAGGAGACAGATTAAGTACCTTGGTGTGGAACTGGATGGAAGGTTAAATTTTCATCACCACATGGCGAAAAGATGTTCTACCATCTGCAAGAAGATGCTGTCCGCGCAGAGATGCATTACTTCGCGTGTCGTCTCTGCTTATTGGACAGTATCTACGAGCGCTGTACAGGTTCTTGCAAGTGTCCCGCCAGCAGATCTTTTGGCGCTTGAGAGAGAGGAAATTATCCTCCTTCTCAAAGAGGCGAATTCCTCGGAAGAGAAAGATCGACCCAGCAAGAACCGTATCCGCTTCGAAGCGAGGCACAGGCTCGTCGAAAAATGGCAGGAAAGATGGGATGGGGAGGTAAATGGTCGATGGACTGATCGCCTTATACCGACTCTCGCCACTTGGTTAGGTAGGAACAATGGAGAGGTCTCCTACTACTTGACACAAGCGCTGACAGGTCACGCATGTTTTAATTCGTACCTGCAGCGCTTTAAGAAGAGGGAGACTGAGGAGTGTGCTTACTGCCAGTTCCCTGTGGACAACGCACAACACACCCTCTTTGCCTGTAGTAGATCGGACTTGGAGAGGCAGGCCATGTTCACCGGTGTAAACGCTACAGTTGCACCGGAGAACATGGTAGCGCTTATGATCCAGTTCCTGGAAAACTGGCGGTTCATCGTGACCTTTATCATCTCGGTTATGATGAGAAAGGATCTCGATGGCCGCAGGAAGGCGTAATTGACAGTCTCCACTTTCTATTTATTTATTTATTTGCTAATCTTATTATTTACTTTGTGTTTTATTGTCTTTTTACAATTTTATGTTTATTTTATTTTCTGTTTATTTATTTTAGTCTTTTTACAGTTTTATATTATATTTTATGTGTTCCAGGATAGTACCAGCATAGGTCTGGCAGCGCAGCCGTGCAGGTGTGCAATCCTGCATTACGGATTGACAACTTCCTGGAGACGAACAGTGGATTTGTTTCGGTTGAGGTGGCGGAAATACGAATGTACAGCTACTATTTCTCTCCGAACGATCCACTGTCGGACTTCGAAGCAGAAATTGAGAACTTAGAATCGAACCTTAGAGAATCTAGACTGTATGTCCTCGTCACAGGTGACTTTAATGTCAAGTCTCCAGAGTGGGGAGAGACAAGGTTCGATAGAAGAGGTATAATGATAGCAGAAATGGTCTCCAGGAACAAGTTAATAATTGTCAATCAAGGAAAGTCGTGGACTTTCAGAAGAGACACGATCGGATCAAATATAAATCTCACGATCGCATCGTCTCACTTGGTTAGCCGCATAAGCAACTGGCGGGTCTTTGAGGAATATACCGCAAGTGACCACCAGTACATCAAGTTCAAAGTTTCAGTGGGAGACACACGAGGAAAAAATTTAATTTAATTTTTTATTTTAATTTAACGTCGCATTCATATTTATTTTTTAAAAGCAATTTGACGTATTGCAATCAAAAAATAAATTTGACTTTGACGGCACTGATGGTTAGAAAGGCTGGCCTCCTTGCGAAACGCATGTTTCAGAGCAAAAAGGACTTACACCTGATCTAAGGGCTTATTACACCATCCCATTTTTGATAAATGAAAAATATCTTAAAGTATAAAATTTATAAAGATTACAATTTTTTCTTTGTATCTTAGATGGAGCTAAAAGTATGAGAAACATAAGACCTGAAGTAAATAATTTGTTAAATATTGGAATGAGATGTTTTTAAAAACTTGTCTTTTTCAATGTTTTAATAAAATTTGAAGTACTCCTAAAATAATAAACGCTTTTTAATGTTCTTGGGCTTACTTTAAATGTGATTTTCTAAGGAATAAAAATTACCACTAAGTATTACGTGTAATTTTTTCTGATAAAATGCAAGCCATCAAAGTTGCACCAAAAAATTTGATACAATTTTTTTAATAGAAAAATAATTTTTAAAATTCAGAGCTATTTATTTTATTCAATTTCCTTACAAAATTGAAATAATTTTACGTCTTATACATTTTACAAGACAATTTTTCGGTTAAAAAAATTTTATCAAATTTTACAGTAAAAAGCTTGTATTATTTTAGGAGTAATTTAAATTTAATTAAAATATTTAAAAAGACAATTTTTTAAAATTATCTCATTCAAATATTTACCGTAAAATGGGGTAAAGTCGGCGTTTGCAGGTAAAGTCGGCCGGCGCTTTAAACACTTAAATATTGGATTTTATTTATTAATTTACATTAATTCTAACTACATTTTTAATAAAACTCGGATTTCTTCTGGAAAAAAGTAATAGTTAAACTTTAAAATGATTTAAAGCGCCGGCCGACTTTACCCCCAAACGCCAACTTTACCCCATTTTACGGTACCAAATCAATACGGATTGCTAAAAACAATAAACTTTTTCCTAAGTTGGGTATTCGTTTTTGTCAGAGAGAACCTTCTTCGATTCAATTAAAAAAATTCTATTATTATTTGCGAAATAACAAAGACGAAGATAACTTTCAATATTTCAACCTAACAATTTAGAAGTACAGCCTCAGATTATTTATCCCGTAAATTTTTTAAGTTTTTAGCTATCTCATTTATTATAGCAGGAAGTAACATAAAATTATTCAAATATGAATTGATAATTAATAGCGAATTTAAATAACGTTTTATAAGATAAGATACTTATGTCGACAAAAGTTTCGTTTAAAAATTATTTTTCAATTTCTTTCTCCCTACTGAAAATTTCCATATGAGATCCTACATAGGATCTAATATGGATTCCTATATGAAAATTTATATGAAATTCGAGATTGATTATAGGAATCCATAATAAACCGTATGTAAAATTGGGACAAGATTTTGATTATGAATTCATGTGGGAATTTGCGTTTGTGTTTCTACATAGGAACCTATGTAGGACAAACATTGGACAAAAATTAAAAATTATTTAATTAAAAATCTAATAATATAACTGTAATTCATCTGAAAACAAAAGAAATTTGGGCTTAAGATTATATTTGCTGAGTTATGGTCTAAGCTCTTATAGTATTGAAGACTGATCTTAACTGTATGAGATATAATTCTCATCATCTAGCGGTGTAAGTGTGGAACTATGATGATCTTCATCTAGATTAACATTTCCCATATAACATTTCTACTTTCTTTTTTATGTGGATAACTAAATCAATGAAGTCCACACATGACATCCTATATAGATTTCTATAAAGTGAACTATTACATGAGATCCATTATGTAGGATCTTATGTAGGATCTTATGTAAGATCCTCCATGGATTCTCATATGGAATCCTACATATAAATAAAGGAACACGTTTCATTGTAAATATAGTAAGTTTCATTAATAATTATATTTAGGTTTACACCATATGAATGGTATAATCCTCATGTATGCAACAAGTATCCGCAAAATCTGGAGAATCGATTTAAACTATTGAACTGTATGTGGTTTACTATTGGATCCTTAATGCGTCAGGGTTGCGATGTTTTACCCAAGTAAGATTGCACAAAAGTTAATAATATCAATTGAATGTTATATATAATTTTTAGGATACAAATAATTATGACTAAAATTTATGCAAGTTGTGAGAAGGATATATTGCATGTAATTAAAGAACAATTCAATGGTAACTCATCATGAAAATTCCATTTTGGTATGAGATTTAAATGAAATTATGTAAATTTATTTACTTGAATATAACTACAAAATTTTTTTTTGAAAAATATTAATAAATATCAGAGATATTCAACTCAGAAAAATTTTAACATTTTTTCTTTCAAACCGCATAACTTTTTATCGATGAAAGATATTAAGTACAATTTTGGCAAATCATTTTCAAAAAAAGAACACTTTATTCAAAATATTTGTAAAAAACGTTTATTTGAAAGGCTATAGAAAAATAAGGATAATAAAGTGCCCTCGTATGAATTAGTTTCATATTTGGGGAACAATTTTGTCCTATCGTAAAACTTATTTACACCAAGATTCAATTCAAAAATAGTACATTGTGCAACTAGTGGGTAAAGTGGTTGATTTTTCAAGAGTGAAGTTTGCTGCTCGAGGGCAGCGAGAAGAGCAATCACTCTCGAAAAATCATTCTTTCCCACGTGTCGCACACGACGTTTTCTCCAACGCCTCGCGAGGAAATGCATTTTTATTAATTAGGAAAAATTCCACGCGACTTTTCCGAAATAAGATCCTTTTCCGCATTAAGAGCCTCGTTTTGTACTTCATGTGGAGTTAAATTATCTATTAAATCACTAATATCGTCATTGATATCAAAGTCCATCTTGTCACAAAAATTAAAACGTAAAACTAGAACAAAACTGTCAACACTATTTTTTGTACTAAGCAACACTATGGTCGTTTTCGTGAATTAGGGTGAGCACACTCAGAGTTAAAACTTTAATCACGCAGTTCGTTCAAGTCACGTTAGATGTCGCTAGTAATATTTTAGATTATTATTATTAGTATTTTTATTTATTATTTATTTATTTTTATTATTATATTATTATTATTATTATTATTATTTTATTATTATTATTTTAGATTTTCTCCAAATTGGCTAAACATATTTTTATAAAAACAATATATGTGACTTGGACAGTTAAAAGGGATCTTACGTCCAATATGGCACCCAAAAAATGAAAAAATCCTTTGGATTCGCTTCAAACATTTTGTAAGTTTAACAAATTTAAATAAAACTTGTTACTCGAGGGTTTTCGGGGTCCCTGATTACGTATCTAAAATCTGTTTTTGAAAATTCAAAATGGCGGATCCAATATGGCGGACAAAATTTAAAAATTGATCAAATTTGCTTGAAACTTGTTACTCGGGGGTTTTTGAGGTCGCTGATTACGAATCTGGCATTAGATGTTAAAAATGGCGGATGACAAAAATAAACAAGGAGGGGGTCCTTTATGTTTATTTCATAAACATTTTGCTTCCTCATTGTGTGAAGGAAAAAATTTGCTTCCTCGTGGAGGAAGCTATGAATTTCTCCAATTCGATTGATTGATTTAAAAAATTTCGAGTTAAAAACTGTTTTAAATTAATTAAATTTTTTGAAAAATTAAGAAAATTTTAATTAATTTTGGGTGTAACATATACTTTATATATGCATATCGATTCGTTTCAATGCAAGGAATACAATTATTATATTTATTAACTTGAATTTTAAAAAAACACCAATTTTTTTTATCTAAAATGTGAATTTTTGATTTTTCAATTTTTATTAATTCTCAAATTTTAAATCAAATCTAGACTTTATATATACCAACCAATTCGTTTCAATGCAGGGAATAAAATTATTTCATATATAAACATGAATTTAAATAAACACAACATTTTTTAGTATAATGTGAATTTTAGATTTTTTAACTTTCATTAATTCTTTAAATTTCGCTCAAATCTATACTTTATATATATCAATCGATTCATCTTGACAGAAGGAAGACGACTATATTATATATTACCTTAAATTTTTCGATTTAAAAATTTTTTCAATTAAAAAAAAATTTTTGGAAAAAAGACGATAAAATTTTTTTTTTGGGGTATTTTTAAAAATCCTCTCGTCATTTTTGAGACATTACTGTGTTAAATAACCCTACAAAATTTTATTCAAAACCATTAAAATCTATTAAAGATATCGTGTGCACAAAAACGATCCACACACACATACATACATCCGGACAATTGATCAGGTCTCATATAACATGTTTCTATATAGAGGAAAATTTGTTTTTACCATTTTTAAAAATTTTATAAACGAAAAGACTACAAAGCTTTCTCCACGAGGAAGGAAAATTACTTGGATAGATTTGATTAAAAATTGATCGGATTTGGTTAAAACTTGTTTAAAAATCTAATGTAAAATTAATAATCATCAAACTCAAAAATCCCCCGAGTAACAAGTTTTAAGCAAGTCCAATTAATTTTTAATTTTGTCAAACGACAAATTGGATTCGCCATTTTGAATTTTCAAAATATAATGCCAGATTCGTCATTGACGACTTCAAAAACCTCCAAGTAACGTGTTTCAAGTAAATCCGATCAATTTTTAAAATTTTGTTTGTCATATTGGATCTGCCATTTTGAATTTTAAAAATATGATGTCAAATTCGTAATCAGCGCCCTCAAAAAACCTTCGAGTAAGAAGTTTTAACCAAACTCAACTAATTTTGCTTCGCGGAGGAAGCTTTGTAGTTCTTTCGTTTGTAAAAAGTTTCAAAGTGTCGGAAACAAATTTTTCTCTATATAGAAACATGTTATATGAAATCCTGATCAATTGTCCAGATGTATGTATGTGTGTGTGTGGATCCCTTTTTTGTTTAGAAGATAACTCTAACAGGTTTTAATGGATTTAGATAAAATTTGGTAGGCTCATTTATCCTATTAATATATCAAATCTGACCAAAGGATTTTAAAAAATATCAAAAAAAAAAAAAATGTTATCGTCTTTTTTCCAAAAATTTTTTTTAATCGAAAAAATTTTTAAATAGAAAAATTTAAGTTTATATATAATAAAATCGTATTCCTTACGTTATGACAAATCGATCAGTGTATATAAAGTATAGTTTTAATTTAAATTTAAAGAATTAATGAAAGTTAAAAAATCAATAAAAAAAAATAAAAATCCGATTTTACGCCCTTAAATAATACACTTTTCTTTATTATTTTTCTTAATTTAAAAATTATATATAATATTATATTTATATATTATATTAATATTATATATAAGATAATATAGTAAATAAATTGTAATATTTATTTATGTGAAGTAAATTTTTCGAATTTTTACTGCAAACTTAGCTCCTGTTATCTCCGTACAAAAAAATAATAGGTATTTTTTTAAAATTTTCAGTTATTTCTCTTCAACGCTATGATCAGCAGCTCTAATCGCGTTCGCAATATTTTTTCTGTAATCTACACGTTAAAATAAATACGTAAAGAAATTTTAGCTGTGTATGTCAAAAATTGTGTCCTCCAGAAGGGAAACTGGATTACTTAGAGAGACAAAGCAAAACCAATAAAGTTTCGTCGCGGTACATTTCATGAACGGAACTTTAATGAATAAAATTTTATTATTTTTTAAGGTTTTGTAAAAATTTTTGTCTGTTACTAATACATTGAACTTATTACCTCGCGATACACATCATTCATGTGTTTATTTTAACTTCGAAACTTAGCTGCACCGGTTGAAATAAAAACACAAAAACAAGACGAGAAATTACAGAAGAACATCTAAGCAACTTAGTGTGTAAAAAATGACGTATTTTGTACCTGAAATGTTCGAGACAGACGAGCATCTTGTCTGAAAGTGCATATATTAATTAATGTTAATAAAAAAGAAATATTTCACAAATAAATAAAGTTATTGCAATCCTGAAGGTACCAATTGAAAGCTGACGTTATTCCGCATCCAACGAGCCCTATATGGACTATTTTGGATTAGAGGATTTTCTATAAACAATTGCTATGTTAGCCAATTGTTTATTAACAATGCACTAACCCAAAGTACTTCATATAGGGCTCGTTGGATGCGGAATTATGTCAACTTTTATTAAGTAACGTCAGAATTACGATAACTTTATTTGTTTGAAAAATATATCATTTTTTATTAACCTTAATAGTTAATTAATTAACTAAAATCTTTAAATATTATGTAAGTAAAAAAACATTTTCACCTATATGTTTTCCAAATTTTTTTTGTGCTCTTGCGATTGGTAAAAAAAATTCAAAATTTGACTCTTTTTTCTGAAAATCAAAAATTTTTTTGACTTTTTTTTTAAGTTTGGTCTTTTTTTTAAATTTATTTTTATTTTTTTTTTGAAAGTTAAAAACGTGCATTTTTACCTCAAAAAATATTGAGATGTCCTTATTTATTTATTTATTTACATATGGGCAATGTCCTTTTGTACAAGTGTACTAAAGTATAAAAAAAAGAACATAAGAAAAATGACAGTGCGAAACAATGTTTTGTTATTTCTCAAACAGTATCAAAAATTTCAGAGCGCAGCTTACATACAAATTTACTTAGAGAAATACCATAAAAATCAAGGTTGTTGTGGTACTCATTAGCTTCTCTTGTTATCCTATTTATAACAGAATTAATTCCATAGTTTGTTCTTTGAAAAGACTGTCTGAACAAAGTTGGATTTCTGGTTGGTCTAAAAGGAACAGCAAAATTTAGCAAAGATAAGAGTGAAGGGCAGTTAATACTGCCGTTAATAATTTTAAACGTGAATAGTAAATCAGTAAATAAGAATCTGTTTCTTAATAGAGGAATACCCAGAATCCTTCTCAGTTCAGTATAGTCATGACTAAATCTATCAAATGGTATCCCCGTATGTCTAGCAACAAAACGCATAAATTTATTTTGCACCCGTTCCAGTTCCATTAATAAGTATTCTTGGTAAGGTGACCAAATCAATGAAGCAAATTCAATTATTGGTCTAACTAATGAAAAATATTAGGCCTTTAACGCTACTATATT